TGTGTCACATTCGGGGATGCCGGGATTTCTGCGCCTATGCTTCGTCTCGAGTGGAAGCAACAACAAACAATCAATCACTTCCCTTCTTTAACATTACTACAAAATATACTCATTATTACTTATCAGTGCACGGTCCTCTTCCATTCCGCTCGCTAGGTTACTTTAGTCTTAGTGTAGGCTTGTTTACCTCCTCGTTCTTCTTTCCATGCATGTTTACTATGCCCTTTGAAGAGAGAAGAGAAGAAGGAGGGAGGGAGGGAGGGAGAGAGAGAGAGAGAGAGAGAGCAAGACAGCACAGACGACAACAGAAGAGAGAGAAAGAGAGAGAGAGAGAGAAGAGAGAAGAGAGAGGAGAGAGAAGAGAGAGAGAGAGGGGGGGGGGGGAGGAGGAGAGAGAGAGAAGAGAGAGAGAAAGAGGAGAGAGAGAGAGAAAAGAGACAGAGAGAAGAGAGAGAGAGGAGAGAGAGAGAGAGAGAGAGAGAGAGGAGAGAGGAGAGAGGAGAGAGAGAGAGAGCGGAAGAGAGAGAGAAGAGGGAGAGATAGGAGAGAGAGGGAGCCACACACGAAGCAGAACAGACAACACACGAAGAACGGCGACAAGGACAAGCAGAGAGAGGGCAACAGAGACACCACCAGCGCACCACGCACGAACAACATCACAACCACACGAGCGACACACGCAGACGAACACACAACAGCAAGAAGAGGATGAGGAGAGAGAGGCGAGGGAGGCAGGGAGGATGAGGATGTAGAGAGAGAGATAGGGTGAGGAGGGTGGGGGGAAGAGAGACGACAACACACACACACAACACACACACACACACACACACACACACGCACATCCATCTAATGATATAATAGTGAGTATATATTATAAAGAGTATATGTTATAGTTAAAATAGATATATATATATATTTTATGTATATCTGTATCTCTCTCTCTCTCTCTTCAAATCTCTCATCTCAAGTCTCTCTCTGCGTCAGTCATGGGTCTTGTCTCGTTCGTGCTCATCATCTCTCTCTCTTCTCTCTCAAATCTCACGTCGAGTCTCAGTCAGGTGCTCATGACGGTGGCTCTTCTCTCTAGTTTAGTAGATATAAATATAGGTATAGTATTAATATAAGTAGTGTGATAGAGATGGCTGAGTAAATAGCTACTTATAACATACAATGTATATTATAAACATGGTGTATATGTACTATGTAACTAGAGTATATGTTTTAATACATGTAAATAAAGAGAAGATAGTGTAAGATAGATATATAACAAGATATTGAAACAGTTAATAAAATAATATAGTATATATAAAAAATTAATATATATTAAGTAGACAGTACAAATAGATAACTATATAGTAATAGTATAAATACAACTTTATACTATATCCTACCTCTACTCACTCCTCATAATGATATATATTTCTTTATAATACTCTTTAATTATCACTCACCTATGCTCATCAATTATATTATAATATCCAAGTTTATAAAAATTATGATATAGTATGTCTTATATAGTACTATAAGTATCATACTATAACGTATTAGCCATAAGGGAATATTTACTATATACTATTATCCATTACAATTATATATAGTTAGAATACATTAACGTATTAGCGTTATATGATATATAAAATAAGTGGGTATTAGGTGTGAAAGTCAGTGAGCAATATTACATTACATATTTATAGGCATATAATGTTATCAGGATATTTAATAATGTATTTGAGAATAGTAGCGGACAACTATAAATATAAGGATAATATAATATTTGAGTAAGGTAATATATTACTATATAGATGATTATATATATAGTATATACAGTTAATATCATTTATAGTATATATATATGTGAGATAAGGTAATTTTGGGTAGTGCTATCTAAATTTTAGTGCTTAAAGGTACTGTATAACTTATATATGTTTGTTATTTCTGTTGATATGTTGTATTTATACTGCTAGTCTGTATCGTTGTATCGTTGTATCTGTATCTCTGTCTCTGTTATCTGTCTCTGTCTCTGTCTCTGTCTCTGTCTCTCTTCTCTCTATCTCTCGTGCTTATGTTTGATATATAAAAGTCATTATTTTACATGATCGTATATATGTATTAAAAACACGAAGTTATGTAAATGAGATGTATGGTGTTATATACTAAAATATATTATATAATATATATGCCTATATAATAGTTGTATAATAATTATATAATGTATATACAATTTATAAGGGGTGTAGATTAATGTATATTTTGTTGGTTGTCCTTTACATAAAATATGTATATATACACTCATATATATACTCTATACATATATATTACTAACCATTATATTATATCATACGCTTTTACCTCCTATCTTCCCTTTTATATTCTAGGCTATTGATTACTATCATTATATATGTAATTGTATGTAATATCATTGTATATACATATGTAATATATATAATATATATATATATATAATATATATATATATATATATCATAATATAATATATATATGTATATGTATATGTATATAATATATATATATGTATAATACATATACAAACATACATATACACACACATTATATGTATGTGTATATATATTATATATATATTATATATATATATATATATGTATATGTACATAACACACACAGATACATATATGTGTGCGTGTGTGTGTGTGTGTGTGTGTGTGTGTGTGTGTGTGTGTGTGTGTGTGTGTATGTGTGTGTGTATGTGTGTGTGTATTTATATATATACATATCTATATCTATATCTATATATATGCGTATGTATACATATATATATATATATATATATATATATAATATATATATATATATATATATATATATATATACACAGAAATATATTATATATATATATATATATATATATATATATATATATATATATATATATATATTTTGCAGAATTATGCCTATTAAACAAAAACAGTGATTCTTGTAAGTTTTCCAGAGTAAAGAGACAGTTGAACGTGCACAAACCTGTGGCTTTTTAGCAGTTAATACATTCTCTTCTCCTTTTTTAATTTTCTCTACATAGTCCTCAAAGTGGTCATATCTTGTAAGAGGATGCAACTTGCAGAAATTGTTTATTGAGTTCATTTCTGTAAACCTCATGTTTTTACCATAGTCTGTTCCTCCATTTTCCTTTAGGACATTCATCAGAAATTCTTCTTGCACCTGTTCAACAGAAAGAGAATGGGTCACAGAAGATATGTCTGGCTGTACATCATAATTTTTCATTAAGGTTTGATGATAAATCTATGTATGAATGAACCTTCAAAATGCAATGTCGTTCATTTAGCTAAGATGGCCAGAAAATAAAACACTCAGCAAAGACATCAAATCCTGAAACACATATCCCTTCAGAAAAGATCTTAATTATATATGATACATATATATGGTAACTGCACACTTTATGAAATGTATACAAGCTTAAGAAAAAAAAAAAGTCTTCATGTAATTCATAAAAACGTACAACGAGTCCTGGTTTGTGACCTACCTTCATAAAGTCTTCAGATTCCTTGTCAATTTTACTGCTCATAGATGCACCTAAAAACTTCATTAACCTTAAGGTAAGATAATGTTTGGTTGCTGAACCGATAGTATGTGACTCAGACCATCGCAGATGGGACATGTCAGCACCAACAGCAACTCCTGTGCTCACAGAAATGACACCAGCTACAACAAAGGCCCCTGGAAGTGTATGTTTTTTACAAAGTACTAAACAGTACTTAACATTACATTACTAAACAAATGCACTGTATGATAAGTACAGGATTAGTCTATGTAGTCACTTTGTTTTATTACTATGCACTTTTCTTTTTACTCTTAATATATTGTAATACTGTATTTATAAATTTGTTTTTTATTTACCTGAAGCTACATGAACTAGTGAGTATGAATGATTATTGCCAGTTAACAAAATCAATTCTTAAACCTTATTTTACCAAAAACATGAAAATTAACATACTGCAACAAAGTTTCAGTGAGAAGGAAGAAAAAAGGTGTGAGGAGAGATGAGAGAGGAGAGAGCAGAGAGGAGTGATGAGAGAAGAAAGAATAGAGAAGAGTGAAGAGAGAAGAGAGAGGTGGAAGGAGGAGCTAGAAGAGTAGAGAGGAGAGAGTGGAGAGAATGTAATGATGGGTGAGGATTATAGAGTGATAAGTAAAGAGGGAGCAGAGAGGAGAGAAGCGAGCGAGGAAAGAGAAAAGAAAAACAGGAGTGAAGAAGGAGCAGGGAGGAGGAAATAGGGAGACAAGCATATAGATGGGAATTAAATGTGAAAGGCAAAGAGAGAAAGATGTGAGGGGAAGGAGGAATGAAGAGACAGGAGAGAGGGGAGATAGTGGAAGGATGATGGTTTATGGAAGGTAGGTGAGAGAGAGAGGGGTGTGGATAGTAGGCAGAGAAGTGTGACTTGTACAGAGAAGAGAATAAGGGAACAGGATAGATGTAAGAGGAAAAAGGAACAGTGGATGAGAAAAGAAGATGGAAAAGGGAAGAGGGAGGATGGGGAGGAAGGAGGGAAGAAACATGAAGAAACTGGGAGTATGGAAGATGGAACAGGGAAGTGGAATAAGGGTAGCGGGATGAGGGATGAGGGAAGAGGGAAGAGAGAAAGGGGCAGAGGGAAGAGGGAAGAGGGAGGAGATTGGTGTGAGAGAGGAAAGAGGAGGAACGAAAACGGAGGTAGAAGGGAAGATGTAGGAGGAAGTAAAGAGGAAGAAGAATATTTAAGTAAGGAGAAAGGATAGACCAATACATGAGGAGAGTGGAATGAAAAGAATAGATATAACAAAATGAGAAGACTGGAAATGAGTAAAAGGACAGGAAGATGAAAAAAGACAAAAGTGAGGAGGGAGTAGTGATCAGTGAACAGGCAAAAACAAGAGAAAGAAGAGAGAAAGAGAGAGTGGCATGAAGTAAGGAAGTCTGGGCCAAAACTTGATTTGATGATGCCCTAAGTATACAAAGTTTGGATGCCCTTTGTAAAGAGAAAATAAAGGTTTTCATAACACTTGAAATAGTGGTATTTTTACAGAATAGTTCCACCTAACAGATCACAACAATTTTGGTATCGATGGATTCTTCTCTCTCTCTCTCTCTGCTATCCAAATATATAGAAATTAATGTGCAGAAACCCCCTAAACCCCTACATTCTTGGTCCTGATAGCAGGGGAGGTCATGAAAGATACCAGGGAAATTGTGAGGTAAAATAAAAATAATGTACACAATTAGACCTAGATACAACGCGCTGTTCTGTGACCCTCCCATAAGGGGTTGCCTCCCTCCATCCCCGCTAAAAAACCCTGAAGATTGTACAAGCATACGTGACAGGAGAGACTGTTGGACAGACAAGCCATTGGGTGCTCCCGCATGTCGGTCATACTCTTTCTCCTATCGTGAATGTGTGGAGGACTTTTTGTGTTCTATTGCAATGATTGGGGGGTGACTGCCCCACATAGGGGGATTGCAAAGGGCACAGCCCTCTGCATAAGACAATATAGTGACTGATTCTGTGTATATTATTCATATTTGACCATGCAGTTTCCCAAGTACCTTTCCTGCCCTCCACTGCTATTGTGGCTAAGATTGTCATTAATGGGGCGGGTTTCCCTTCAATAATTTCTATATATTTGGATACTAGAGAGTGAGAGGAGTCCATCAATACCAAACTTGTCATGATCCAAACAAATACCTCATATTAATGCTATACACATTAAAATCTAAAAGGTTACTAAAATCTTGAGGCCCCTCAAATTGTTAGGCACCAGGGTACAGCTCATTTAGCTAACCTGTAAATTCAGCAAAATGCGAGGAGAGAGGAGAGCAGAGTGAGGTGAGATACAAGATGAGAGCATATTGAAGTGAGAGAAAAGAGAAGGGATGATAGAAAAGAGGGAGGAGAAATGAGAAACAAGGGGAAAAAGATATGAAAAGAGCAATGGGAGGATGAAAGATTGGGGACAGGAGAGAGCAGAGAGAGGAGAGGGTAGCAAGGAGACAGAAGAGCAGTGTGAGGAACAAGGAGAGAAAGAGAAAAGAGAGGAGAGATGAGAGAGGTAAGAGGAGAAGGAAGCAAACTGAGGAGTGCGGAAGGAGGAGAAAGAAGGGAGGAGAGATGAGAGATGAGAGAGGAGACAATAAGAAGAGAGAAGAGAGAAGAGAGAAGAGAGGAGAGAGAGGAGAGAAGAGAGAAGAAAGAAGAGAGAGGAGAGAGAGAAAAGAAAGAAGACAAGAAAAGGGAGGGAGAAGTGAGGATAAGAGAGAAGAGAGAGGAGCGAGGAGAGAGGAGAAAGGAGAGAAGAAAGAAGAGAGAACAGAGAAGAGAGAGGAGAAAAGAGAAAGGAGAAAGAAAATAAGTAAGAACCACTCTAACAGATGGAATAGAGTAGTAATAACAGCATACAGATTTTCTCTTTAGCTTATAATTATAAGAACGTTACTATTGAATATATGAATCTACTACTTAAACAAATAATTATTTAGAAATTAATATCATCTTTGAAACAAATCAGTCAAAAAACTGACCATATATTCATCTACTTAGCTATTCTTCAATTTACACTTTACACAATCAAAAATAAATATTCCATACCTTTAGATATGCGCTTTAACCAATTTAAGGCAGCCATATTTGCTAAACATAGAGATATTTCAGACCCCTGTCAACGTAGCGAAACTGGAGTTGAATTATACAAGAATATCGCGAGTTACACAACCCGCCTATGTTTCTTTACGTCATTTGAAAAGAAAGTCTTGGCCCTGTAGCCCTCTTTCCCTTTACTTTTGCTTCGATTTATGATGAAGAATGAGAGAGAGAGAAGAGAGAGAGAGAGAGAGAGAGAGAGAAGAGAGAGAGAGAGAGAGAGAGAGAGAGAGAGAGAGAGAGAGAGAGAAGAGAGAGAGAGAGAGAGAGAGAGAGAGAGAGAGAGAGAGAGAGAAGAGAGAGAGAGAGAGAGCAGAGAGAGAGAGAGAAGAGAGAGAGAGAGAGAGAGAGAAGAGAGAGAGAGATTAGAGAGAGAGAGAGTGAGAGTTATTCGTGAGAGAGAAGAGAAGCAGAGAGAGAGAGAGGAGAGAGACGAAGAGAGATGAGAGAGAGAGATGAGGAGAGAAGAGACAAGAGTACGTCAGAAAGAGAGATGAGAGAGTGAGAAGAGAGTAGACAGATGAAGAAGAGAGAGAGATGAGGAGAGAGATGGTGCAGAGAGAGAGAGAAGAGAGAGAGCCAAGAGAAGAGAGAGAGAGATTGGAGAGGCAGAGAAATAACAATGTTATAGATAAAGAAAGTCTAATTATAAAAAAATGAATAGAACAAAAACATTTAAAACTATAATGTAGTTATGGAGAGAAAGGGAGAGGAGGAAAGGGGAGGGAAGGGAATCCAGCAGGTAGGAAGAAGAAGAATAAGGGAGAGGAATGAGAGGAAGAAAGGGAGAAAGCGTGAAGAGGAAGAGAGGGAGAGAAGGTGAGAGGGAGAGAGGGGTGTAGTAGGGAGAGATATGAGAGATAGATAGAAGCCAAGATTAGATGTCTCCTCCTCTTTCTCTATCTTTCCCCCCCCATCCACAGAGACATGAACCACACCACACCATCACAACACACAACCGACACACAACGAAAACCCAAATGATTAAAACTACAAACAAAAACACAACAAACATAAATTAATAACAACAACAAAAAACAATCCACACGACCAACCCCAAAATCAAACAATCACAAAAATAACAACACACAAAAAAAAAAGAACACAAAAAACAGCTAAACACAACCCATAAGAATAAAAAAATCAAAAAACATTATTAATAAAGAATAAGACTAATAAGACAAAAAAAGACAGAAAAAAAACACGTAAATCAACAAATCAGAAAACTCACGAAAACACACACAAAGAAACTACACACACACACCAAAATATCAAAAAAGAAATAAAAAAAAAAGAATAAGAGAAAAAAAAAAAAAAAAAAAAAAGAAAGAAAAAAACACAGACAACAACAAACAAAGATACGAAAAACAAAATAAAAAAATAGAACAAAGGAAAGAAAGAATAAATAAGTAGATAGATAAATAACAATAGATAGATAGAATTGAAGGAGAGAAGGAGAGGGGGGTGAGAGAGAGAGAGAGAGAGGCGCGAGAGAGAGAAGAGAGAGAGAGCGAGAAGAGAGAGAGAGAAGAGAGAGAGAGAAGAGGAGAGGCAAGGGGCAAGAGGGAGAGAGAGCACGAGAGGAGACGAGAGAGAGAAGCAGAGGAGAGAGAAGAGAGAAGAGAGAGAGAAGAGAGAGAGAGAGAGAGAGGAGAGAGCAGAGAGAAGGAAGAGAAGAGATTGAGAGGAGTGAGAGAGAAGAAAGAGAAGAAAGAAAAGAGAAAGGAGGAGACGAAGAAGAGAGAAGAGAGAGAGAAAGAGAAGAGAGAGAAACGAAGCCAAAGAAGACAAGGCGAGCGAGGAGGAAGGTTGAGCAGAGACGAGGAGCAGAGACAGACTATAAGAAGGAAAGGCAGACAGACGAGCAGACCCACTTAAGACGAAGAGGACGAGAGAGAGAGAGACGACCGAAGGGACAGTTACGCATGACCTGATTGGACGAGAGAGACGGAGGGCGGAACGAGTTACGAAAGACGAGAGCAGGAAACGTAGAGAGTTCACTTTCCGGCTCTCCCCTCAGACCCTCCTCTTTCCTTTCTTCCTTCCTCTTTTTTTTTCTTATTCGTCTTCTTCTTTGGTACATGATTGTCGTTGGTTCACTCTCTCCCAGTGTCATCGAAAGAGAGGAAGAAGAGAGAGGAGAGAAAGAGATTGAGAGAGAGAGAGAGAGAGAGAGATCGGAAGAGAGAGAGAGAGAGAGAACGATGAGACGAGAGAGAGAGAGCGAACGTGAGAAGAGCAGAGAGGAGAGAGAGTATATGAGCAAGGAGCACTAACGCCCAGGAAGAGAGCGAGGACTACACCGCCCACACACACAACACAGGAGAGGAAGATGACGAGAGAGACGAGAGAGAGACCAGAGAGAGAGCATAGAATAAGATGAGGATGAAGTAGATAGTTAGAGAGGAGTATATAGAGTGAATTTGATGAGAGATAGTAGGAGAGATGATGAGTTAAATAATATATGTGAGTGTGGATGATGGAGATGTGTTGTATGTGAGAGTCACGAGGTGAGTAGAAGATGAGAGAGGAGTAGATGTGGAGTGAGAGATGGAGTAGAGAGGGGATAGAGGTTGGTGATGAGATGAGATGGTGTGGGTATGTTGTGGGTGAGTTATTGTAGTAACTAATCAATTAATTTAGATTAAATATTATTAATCATTACCATTATTATTGAGAAAACCAATTATCCTCAATTGCTAGAATTTTTATCCCTCTTTTAGACGTTAGAGAGAGAGAGGGGGGGGAGTGGAGGACAAATTTTCTTGATCTTCGTTCGCCTTCGTCCAGGGAGCAGAGACTACGTCCTACCAGGGAAACGAGGGTAGAGAGAGAGAGTAGAGAGAAGAGAAAAGCGGAGAGGGCGTTCTTCGTGCTTGCCTGCTTGGGGTTAACCATTAACTTTACGCTTTCTAAGCATAGCTTTCGGAAATAAAGTCTGGAACTACAATTACTCTTTGAATGAGTCATTTTTTCCGTTTTGTCTAAGGAGCACCCTAATGAAGAAGCAAATAACTTTTCATTCCACAGGGAAAATGTACAGGGCGAAAACACAGGTTACAAAGGGACATGTATACTTATATATCCAATTATATTATCTATCTAGTCTATCTACTCTATCGTCCTATCTATCTATCTATCTATCTATCTATCTCTATCTATCTAATCTATCTATCTATCTATCTACTTCTATCCTTATCTATCTATATACTATATAGTATATATACCCAAGCATTCACACACACATTCACACACACATCACACACCCAACACATCACACAATCATCCTTCACCACCACACACCCATAATATATATATATATAATATAATAT